CTCTCCAAAAAGCTCACTGGGAGAAAAGAAAAAAAGTTAAAGCCAGTGGTGGATCCAGAACTTTTTGTAAGGGGGGGCCTGCTCCAGTCACGCTTCAGTGATTCCCTATATAATCAACCAAATTTTTCCCACAAAAGGGGGGCCTGGGCCCCGCAGGCCCTCCCCCCGGATCTGCCTATGAAAGCCTGTATCTTAGTACAAAAACGATGCCGCCCATGTAATCATTGAGAAACTACTTGTTCAAGACAGACAAAAAGCAAATGAATGCATTCCTACTTAAAAAAAAAAACTCATAATGTAATTCATATAAACAAGCATATTATCTATCCTCCTTTTGGTGTCAGCATGGAGTTTAACTTTGGAATAGTAAATGGGATAACACTAAACCTTGAACTTGCCATATATTTGATATGAGAACTCCCATTGAGAGCAAAGAGATTTAATTATACTTCATGATTATACTTAGTACTTGATATAAATGATAGCATGGAAATAGATACAACTTTACAATACAAACTTCTGCTATACAAAGTTATAAGATCATACCTAATATAGCAACAGTAGTCCTTTATAATGAACATAAATGTCCATTTCCCAATTGAGTCAAGGGCATAATAAAAAAAATATACATATATAATAATAAAAAAAAAAACATGCACAGAATTTCTGATTTTCATGGTAGATTATAATGATACAAATGGGTATTTTACAATGGAAAAGGTTTGCCTTGTTTGAAAATGACCCAAACTGCATAAATGCATTTTGTCTGGAAATGACAGAATATTGTCACTTTGTTGTTACCATTCTGAAGAAAAAGAAGGGACATAATAAAACTGATAATGGAAATGGGGAATGTGTCAAAGAGAAAACAACCCGACCATAGAGCAGACAACAGCCGAAGGCCACCAATGGGTCTTCAATGCAGCGAGAAACTCCCGCACCCGGAGGTGTCCTACAGCTGGCCCCTAAAGTCTGGAACAATTATTTAGGTAACAGTGAAAATTAAATTTGACCTACACTTCATGCAAAGTGGTAATGTTGCAAAGTTATATAGAGGTCCTATTCCAGAGAAAATTAAGTTATCACCTGGAAACTTTTTGTTTTTGATGGACAGCCAGGCCAGCAGGCATACAAAGAGGAATCATATTGGAACTCATCCCAAATCCTTTTTGAAATTTTCTACTTGATCATCTGTAAACAGTCTTAATGTATTTATCATCTTAGTATATTATTTACAATTTTGTGAAATGTGAAAGAATGGAAATTCTATCAGTCTCAAGATCTACATTTATCACTGTCTCAGACAGAAGCTAGGATTTCTTTTGATTAATTCATTTTAAAATTGTATCTTATCCTACTATTACATAAAACAGATCTCTGTATATCAAATTATTTTCATCAAACTAAAGAAATAGATCGAAATTATCAGTTTTTGTTAAAATTGTATTAAACACACAAGCTAATCTTAACCAGATCAATAGAAAACATTGTGAACATCTATTTTCACTTACATTCAAACAAAGCAAAATTTACAAGTAGGCTAAGCAGGATCAATGTATTCTACAATCACATTTATAAACAAGTCTCCTTTTTTAAAATGATTCATATTGATTATACTAATTTTCATTCTCAGATCACCATGCAAACAAAAGTTTTCATTTATAAGATATTTAACTAGACATGCAAGGAGCTCATCTGTATGTAACCTCTGCACACTCAAACTTGGATCCAGAACACAAAAATAGATCCTATACATAGGAAACGGTTTAGTGCACATTTCACTGTTTCAGTCTCACTGAAACATATTGGTTCCAGATTTTTTCAAAACACACAATTATTTTTGTAACGTCTGGTTATGACAAGTGTCACATCATCTTTTAAGATTTTATTGGTATATGCTTGCTTACCATCTTGGTTGATGTGATGAAAGTGTTAAAAGATTTTAAACAGTACTAACTAAATTGTATAGTATCTCTTAGAAGTTAATTATTTCTGCAAGAACAATCAGTCACCAAATATTAACTTGACAGACATGATTTAAGTCACATGAGAAAAACACTTAATGCTGTCCTACCCCCACCTCCTGAAATGAGAGTTTATGGTGCATCATTTTCAAGATGTCACTCTTATTAAACACATTTTGAAACTTATTTTTGATTTTGAAAGAAATGAAATAGGTTTGAAACTGAAGAAAATCATGTATTACAATAAATGTATCATACAGGTTTTGGTCTTATGATTTGATGATGATTTCCATTATTAATATGTGTACACATTTAAGTATAAAATAACCATATTAAAGTACAATATATAAATCACACATTCCATTGTAAAATGTGTTACCACAAGCTTGTCATTGTAAACATTTCTGATCAATATTTAAAAAAAGTGAAAAATGCATACAAAAGAGTCTCAAGGTTAAAAATAGAAATGGAAACAGATTTTGCTGACTGCGTTGTACTAAGTTACTGGCCCAATATGGATTTTAAGGAAAGGGGTCTTATTTAGCACCCAATATTAAGTACATAACTTGAAGATGTAAACTATTTCAAGTTGATGCATTAAAGGGAAATAGGATTTTTAAGGTTTTTTTTTTAATGAATTGAAATTTACGTGCCAAATTGGCCAATGGTAGAATTGGGTGAAAGTTGTCAAAATATTTTGAATTTCAACCACATTTAGGCTAACCGAACATAAAGCCCAGGGCTCAACAAACTAAATATTCTAGTCCAATAGGTTATATGCTTAAACAAACTTAAGACTAAATGATTTTGTTTTGATGACACATGCACTATATTTGTCCAGACCTAATAACCAATTTTAAAAAGTTCGCCTGATTTCATTGAACTTTGAGAAGATTTAAGCTATGCTAATGTCAACATCATAAAACTGCTGATACCTTAGTTAAGAGAAAAAGAACATAAATTCTATCTAGTCTTTGTTTAAAGAATGATAATTGAAATTTTAGCTAAATACAGGGCCATATTTGGGGTCGATCATAATACTTCTACATATTCATTTATAAAATATATGACTTGTTCCAAAAATATTTGGTTTATAATAAAAGTGAACTTAGGTTTCTAGAGGCTTAGGGTTTGAAAACCCTCAAATATAAAAACTAGTGTATTCAGATGTTTTTGCACCTTAAATTTAAATAAAATTTGGGGTTAAACATCACATGAATTATACATCTGAATGTTCTATTAATCACTTCTGGTGAAGAAGTTGATTTTATAAATTACCATGAATCGCCCAGGCATTGTGATCTCTCTCAAAAAGTAATAAACAAATGCAAAACTGTAGAAATTCTATTAACTTTGTTAATTTGATTGCTGATTTAAATGAACAGATGCTACTATACCAGAAACTAGTAGTGTTTTATGAACTCTTCTCTCGATGGAAAAGGTTAAAAAATGTAATCATGCAGAGTAACAGGAGGCTTATAAAACTTCATCATGTCAAGATAAAAATATCTATTGATGTTTCTAGATAAATAAAGTTTCGGATTGCCTGGGGAAATAAATTGTATAGTTCTGCTCTATCAGCAACTATTGACGCAAATTTCTGCTCGTAAAAAATTCAATTAATAAAATATGTGTATATAATTTTTCAAAATTTCTATGTTGTTGTGAGATAATTTTCTCATTGAGGACTTGTAAAAAGGTTACCTGGATGGATATTTAACAACATACACTTTGACATAACCCCCTAGAGCATGAAATAATTGTCAATATCAGTCTAGTCAGATATTGTGTTCAAATACTTCAGTCATACAGGATAATAATTCTTTAAGGAATAAATAAAACAAAAAGAACAATTCCCAGGTGTGGGAAATAAACTACAAAAAGGTAAGTACTTTTAATTAGATCTTAAATATCATGTTTCCCATTAGGAAGTAATTAACACTTTTTACAGTTTGATCATATATTCATTACTTTAGGACTGGATTAGTGCCAGTTTTTAGTGATTTATCACCAAAATAAGGTATAAGGATTTGTGTACAAAAATGTCTTACATCATCAATTATGGGAAATTCCATAAGAAAAACATATATAAAGACTAGGTAAGTCACTATCTTTAATTGAATAATATCACTTGTGTTGTACTAAATATGATGATCTGTATATTAAATGAATAGTTACAATGACTCTCCTAGGGATTTCTAGAAAGAAATAAATGTGGATAGTGTCCACATGTGGACACAGATGATGCCCCCGCTTGCATATCATATAGTTATAAAGGGACATAACTGAAGAACAGTAAAAGTGATGCTACCCAAATTTGAACTTGATCTGAGTTTTGTGTGTAAGTCTCATAACATTTGGTTGAGGCTTACTCAAGTAGAGAACAGACACTAAAAATTCAGCAATTTTTCTATTTAACTCCAATTTTAAAAATAACTTGATATTTAGAAGAAAATAAAAATTTTGCAATTTTTCCATTTATAAAGGGGCATAACTCTAGAACAGTTAAAGTGACGCCACCAAAATTCAAACTTGATCTGTGTTTTGTGGTAATAAGCCTTGTGTATAAGTTTCATAACATTTGGTTGAGGCAAACTTAAGTTAGAGGACGGAAACTAAAAATTTTGCAATTTTTCCATTTATAAAGGGGCATAACTCTAGAACGGTTGAAGTGACGCCACCAAAATTCAAAATTGATCTGTGTTTTGTGGTAATAAGCCTTGTGTATAAGTTTCATAACATTCTGTTGAGGCAAACTTAAGTTAGAGAATGGAAACTAAAAATTTTGCAATTTTTCCATTTATAAAGGGGCATAACTCTAGAACGGTTAAAGTGATGCCACCAAAATTCAAACTTGATTTGCGTTTTGTGGTAATAAGCATTGTGTATAAGTTTCATAACATTTGGTTGAGGCAAACTCAAGTTAGAGAACGGAAACCAATTTTGGGACGTACGGACGGACGTACGTACATACGTACGTACAGACGGACAAGGGTAAAACTTAATGCCCCCACCGCTACGGCGGGGGTATAAAAATGACTCTCCTAGGGATTTCTAGAAAGTAAAAATGACTCTCCTAGGGAGTCCTAGGAAGTATATGTCTAACAGTCATAAGTCCAACTGTGGTTCCTAATGTAGTTACTGAACTTCCTGCATTATTATTAATCTTGATATGATCAGAAACATGTCCATGTTCTTTCAGTCAGTATTATCCTGGGATTTTCCTCCTACAAAATATATCAGTGGGAATTATATATTCTGTTGATTCCTTGGCAAATATATCAGCTAGACTGACCTCAAATTATTTATGATCTGTGGTAGTAGGTTTGTTTCTCCAATATTATCTTTTTCTTACAATGGTAAAACAGTGCTATACTTTCTACCACAATTAACTACCGGTATGTTTTATCGTTGTTTAAATCATGTGCTCTTTTCTTAGACCTTACTTTTCATAAAGTAACCATTGTTTGTCAAACAATATCAAGGTATTTCATGAAAATTGCTGCACTTGCAATAAACAGGAGCAAAACATTGTACTTCACCTTTAGTATTTGTCAACACATAAAGATTTATCCAAAATGATGGTAACTATTAAATTGACTAATCAATTTTATTCAGTGAAATCTGATACAAAAGAATTGTATGAAACTTGATGTATTTTTTTGGGGTTTACAGCAAGATTTTTCATTCTCATTCATTTTTTGTTGTTTTGTGGTGAAAAATGATGTCAACACAGATGCATATCATATGATGTCATCATAGAAATGAAAGTTGCTTTTGAAGGTAAGAGCATATTAGGGAATATTTACATGATAACTTGGGCACAGGTACATGATATGTGTTTACCATTCTAAGGAAATCTATTTCTGAAATAAGTTCAATACACAGTAAAAAAAAGAACATAGAACAAAAAGTATATTGTACAAACACTGTGAGGGAATACTTGTTTGGTTAGTATACAATGACTGAAACAAAACAAAAATAGGCTATTCACCATTTTAAGTTTTTAATACAAAAACATATAATCTTCTCATATTGAAACTCCCTAGGGGACATTAAAAAAACTTTATGAATTTTAGTAATATTCAAATAGAATTGCTCTTCATATATAAATAAGAAGATGTTGTATGATTGCCAATGAGACAACTCTTCACCAGAGACCAAATGACGTAGAAGTTAGCATCAGCTAATGATACATGCACAATATTACTCTATCTATATTTAAACAGTGATCAAACAATTTCCTGTTAATTATTTTTGTAAAATTTTCATTTGGTGAATTATTTTTCTCCTCCATCTTGAATTATGACAGTAAGATTTAATAACAAGCCCTGTATAATCTGTGTTAAGCATCTCATAACAGATTACACTTGTCAAATTACAGGCCTGTTTTTCAGTAAGGTAAATACCCACTGTCCAGTTTTATCACCAATAAAGATAACATGGCCTTTGAGGGCACTGACTGTTATGGTCATAATGACACTTATCAGATCTAAATCAAATATTAGATTTAGGGCAAGAGTTGATTTTATTATCGTGACTTTGAATTTAAATTAGAATTCTAGGTTTAAAAACAAAAAAACAGTAAAATTATATTTGTGAATATGTGTTATAAATGTTTATACTAATTTAAGTGCATATTTCAGTCTTGCTCTCTTGCCTAAGATTGTAATGTACAAATTATTAGAGTACATAGCCATATCAATTTAATCATATAAGAACTTTTCAATATTTTCACCTCCATTGCACATACAATATGCTGACAACTTTTGCCTTGACTGAGGTTTCAACTCTTGTATGTCCACTAATCCTCTACAAAAGAACTCTAACATCCACATCATTTGGACTCTGGCAGACAGTTGTCTCAATCCACAATCATAACATATTTCCTTATCTTTATATTGGCAACTTAGTTAAAACTTTGGTGGATATTTATATGAAAATTGGAAAACATTATCAATTCTGACAATAATATGTACAACTCATATTATAGTTAAATCGGTTTATAATACAAACTCTTTAAAATTCATGAGCAGGTTTCAACTGTCTGTTACAAATCACAGCACTTAATGTCAATGTCTATTTCATAAAGGTAACTTATGCTTTTAAGGCAAATTATCTGCACTTAAATATAAAACGAATTACGAACGGATATGTGAAATTATTATTATGAATAATCTAATTTGTCTGTTTTGCATAATCAAAGGTCACAGTTCATTTTCATTGACTTGAAGTCTGAATGTAACAATCTGTAAGATATGTCCTTGGAAAAGGTGTTATGTTATTCAATGACCATTAGCTTTTCTCACCTCTCTTGTCAATCGATAACTCGTACATGGACTGGTCCCATTACTTATTACTCTGTTGTAATCCTATTGATAAGAGATCATCCTTTCTGCCTGTAAAAATAAAATTAATCATTTAGAACAATATAGGGGGGGTTATTTCTGTGTTTTTTCATACTATTCTTGTGTTGTCTGTCTTCCTTCCTCCTATGGTTTTTTATTTCCTCCCCACACCCTAAGACTGGTGGCCTCTTGACATTTAACACGAGTAATTACTACTTTTCAGTATATGCTGTAACACTTGCTTATTTTGGTTGCTTGTATCTTTTTTGTTTATTTCTTCCCAGTGTATACTTTCATGTAAGGAGTTTTCAATGACATATTTCCAAATCTTATTACAATTTGTAGTATTAAAAGGCGGGAAAATAAGGCAGTATGTTTTAAGAGTGTTAGACTATATTTGTGTAATGATAAACTGTCTAACATATCTGGATTTCAGCTTAACTGAAAATAGTTTTTAAACAGGTTTAATGTTTCCTTTAATCTTTATATTGATAGAAAAATAAAGTTTACATGTTTTCATTCTAAATGAAAAACCCAGTGAACTGGAATAGATTCATTTCAAGGTCAAATTATTACAATCTCAGCTGGTTTCAGTAAACATCAATAATAGAGGAAGTCACTAGCACAGGTTTAAAGTCTTCAAAAAAACTGGTGTAATTTTAAGATAAAATCTGTTTATTCAAAATGAAGGTATAAAGGGGGTCTCATAAGGGGGGTTCTGATCCTGGATCCCGCTTATTGTTTTGTCAGAATCCTGTATCCTGCTTATCATTGTAATAATAGAGCTTGTAATTTCACGTGTCCCGCCCAACTTCGTTTCCCGTTTTTACGCAAAATAATTTGACTTTCACATGTCAAGCTTACAAAAAATTGGCAAATCCCGCATCACGCTTACACCCCAATGAGACCCACTATAAAGTGGATACTTATTTTGAGCATGGAAGCACTGAACATTACCTATCAAAAAGACCCTTTTGACAAACTTTGATATATATAAATTCAATGCATGACAAGAAGTTGTCAAAATGACACTAAACCAGGGTTTTTTGTTACATATATATTAATTAATACCATTGTTCAAGCAATCAAGGATCATATCTCCTGATCAGCAAAAGTAAAATCGCTAAAACTAATCCTGACCTCCATTATGTAATGAGCATATTTGAAAAATTTAATTGGATCAAATTATCCTGAACTTATTGAACAGAATGGACATAATGTGTCAATATCCAATTAATCAGGGAATATAAATCTTGAACAGCAAAAGAGAAAACTTTCAATAACTAACTTGACCTCTATTTTGTCATGAGAAACAAAATATCCAAATTTGAAATACATTGGCTGAATGGTTCTCAAATGCTTAATTGAATAGTTCTTGTTAATACATGAAAACAGCTAATTCTCTTGCCATCTGCCTGTCCAGCCGCCATACTACCACAAATTGATAATTAAATTTTCGATCAGAAATTGAATTCTTTATATAAGGAATGCAGGTTCCCGATTTTTTTATCTGTTTTTATACGTCCGTTTATGGGACGTATTATTGTATACCGTTGTCCGTCTGTCAAGTCCGTCCATCTGTCCGTCAGTCGTCAACATGTCAGACATTTACTCAAAAACGCTTCAACCAATTTGCATAAAAGTTTGGTGAATTGTTCATATCACTTGATGTGAGCTCCCTTTCGTTTTTTATAAAATTTAGATTTTACGTTTCTGAGTTGTGGGGTTTTATTCATTAATAAACTGCTTCGCTGAGCGCAGCTAGATACGCCCGCAGAGGTCCAACCCTGAACAGTTTGGGCAAAAATGGACACAATATTCAAGCTTGATTCAGGTCTGAATTTGGATTGTAATTAAATATTTGACATATTATAGGTTTCTGAATAAATGTAGTCAAAGATCTTGAAATTGGTTTTATGAATTGAATTTATATTCAATTAAAGATTTCTTGCTGTTGTGCAATACTTAGTAAATCTTTTGTCAGACTATAAACAAATAAAGTTCAATTAATTCTCAATGTCATATTAGAAATTTATGAAAATTAAAAGGGAGCTTACATCAATAGATATAAACAATTCACCAAAGTTTCATGAGAATTGGTGACAGCATTTTTGAGTTATTGGCTGAAAACTGGAAAATCACCCCTTTTTTTAATGAATAAAACCCCATAACTCAGAAATGTAAAATGTAAAATTTATAAAATTCGAAAGGGAGCTTACATCAATACATACAAACAATTCACCAAAGTTTCATAAGAATTGCTGAAAGCATTTTTGAGATTTTGTCCGAAAAACTGGAAAATTCCCCCTTTTTTAATGAATAAAACCCTGTAACTCGGAAACGTTAAATCTAAAATTTATAAAAATCGAAAGGGAGCTCATGTCAATAGATATAAACAATTCACCACAATTTCTTGCAAGTTGGTGAAAGCATTTTTGAGTTAATGTCCGACATGTTGACGACGGACAGACGGACGGACAGACGGACAACGGTATACCATAATACGTCCCGTAAACGGGCGTATAAAAAAGGGGGGATTTTCCAGTTTTTGGACAATAACTCAAAAATGCTTTCACCAATTTGCAAGAAACTTTGGAGAATTGTTTATATCTATTGATGTTAGCTCCCTTTCAATTTTCAGATTTTACACTTCCGAGTCATGGGATTTTATTCATAAAAAAGGGGTGATTTCCTAGTTTTCGAACAATACCTTTAAAGTGCTTTGAGCAGTTTTCAATAAACATTGGTGACTGGTTTATATCAATTAAGATAACCTCCCTTTAATTTTTCACAAATTTCTGATATGACTTTGAGAAGTTATTGAACTTTATTCATAAAAAATGCGACGGGCGTATCATGCGCTCATGGCGCAGCTGTTTTTAATTTTTGCTAATTGAAAATAAGGTGTTGGTGTAGTGTCAGATGCATGGTCTTCTCTAATGAATTAATTCACAACTTGTCTATAGAATGTAAAAAATTAAGAGCTTGTTATATGGTGTGGATGCTTGTCCACTGCTGGTCATTGAATAGTGACCTCTGGATTTATTTTCTATTTAACTTGTGTTGTTGGGACCTAACATATTGTTTTATTCAAAAATGCCATTTCGATTTTAAATCTATGTTGGTTCTCATATACTATGGTAAGAAACAGTTTTTGCAATTCATTTATCATGTATGTATCATGCAAATACAATTAAAATAACCACAATTATTCTAAATTTCATTATTTACTACATGTTATTCTGATTATTACATAATTATTTTTGTAAGTTTTTCTATTTCACTGTCAACATTTCTTCCACCATTCAAATGCCATTAACATATAAGATTGATCATAAATTTTACAAGTGAAGTTAAGCAAAAAGTTATTTTCCTAGAGGGCATTAAAGAGAAGGAGCCACAAAGAATGTGTGGTTATTGTTCCTTTGCCAGTTCCAAATGTGCGTGCTTAATAAAAGATGTCCTTGGTTTTTTGTCTCATTAATGTAATTACAAGTATCTCTGCTTTAATCACAAAACAAAGGCAGATTTAGTGGGTGGGACAGGAGGCCTGGGCCCCCTTGTGGAACTTCATATATGGTTAACGAAAAGACTTTCTACATGTCCAACTTCTAACTTTGCCTAGTTCTGTTTTTTTTTTCAAAATCCTGGATCTGAACAATAGTATTCAGTAGCAGTATTATTTTCCTGCTTTTTTGTATTTTTCGGAAAATTTCCACTTTTGCATTATCACTGGAAAGGAGTATGACAGAGGAATAATATCATAACAGGGAAGTGATCCAATTCACCTATCAACACCTGTGTATGTTGTCCTCAGGTTGAGGTACATCTGTATTTGTATACAGTGTATTAATCTGGTACCTAATGTTATAGAATGATTGATAGGACTGTCATTAAATGAAATTACTGATTATCATCACCTACTATAATCTATATATAATTTCCTGTAATTATTTCACATTGTAGGGTATCTAGTTGTTACTAATACAACACAGCATATCACGTTTTAATAACTAAACCTATATCAATCTGTAATGAAAAATTCATTATTCTTACGAGCTTGGTTGCATACAGTAAAAAAGTTATTACCAGAAGTGTGTAAATAAATGACATACTTTGCAGTTACCAATTATATTTACTTTAGAGTGTTATGTAATTAGTCGTAGAAAATGAAACTGTTTTAAGGGTTTGTATTAATTTTTCTTTGGAAAACTGCTTAAAATCAGATTGTTGGACACTGGTGGCAACTCTCATGGTTACCTAGTGAGTCAGAAGGCAGTGGATAGGCAATGCCATTTTTTGGGGAGCTGTCAGGTTATAACAATTACAAGTCATGTTTTGAGGAAACTTTCAAAGCACACTCCTTTTGTAGATCTTGAAAAATGGTAGCCAAATCTTATTGGACGTCTCAAGACCCTAACCAATTACCCAACTTTCTTTACTTTTTCAGAGTTTATGTCAAATGGTGTTGCTTTTTTTTTGGTGTACAAGCCATTATCTTTTTGGATGAATTAAATATGGACCAGAGGGTTTAACTTGCAGATATTTTTCGTATAATGCACTGTGAGATTGCTATTAAGATTTCAGTGGAAATGGAGAAAAATATGACTAGAGGCACACAAAAAAACCAAACAAAATAACAACTTTCTAAACATTAAACTATGCACATTAAAATCTTAAAGAACATGTTTCAAAGCATACTAGGCCATTTTTTAAAAAAATTGTTTAACATTTTGAAATTCTGAGCCCTTTTTAAACTTACTATATAGATTACAGAATGAGTTTTCCTCATTGTTGATGGCCCTACAGTGACCTGTTCACATTCTTGGCACATGATCTTTGGTTAGTTGTATTAAGGGCAATCATACCACATCTCCTTATTTTTAAATAGGCAGATTTTTAAGGCAAGACTTTTACAAGAACAGTTATATTTTTGGAAATGTTATCTTCAGGGAATTGATTCTTTCGTCCATAATTCATTGGTGCTCATTTCCCAAATCTGGCAAATCATGCTTTTTTTGTTATTGGTTTTCCCTCTTCCTAATTTTTTCCCCTTCTCTTTCCCAAATCTCACTTTTTTTATCCCCGATATCAGACACCTCAACATTTTTTTACCCCTTAGTTATATCTCCCTTTTTTAACCCCTAAATCCCCTCATGGGTTTCTTATCTTAAAATTGGATACATTCTGATTACAAGATTTGTGCTGAACCTACACTTCAAACATGGACTGCGTTTATTTTTAAGTTTTTAAAGCTGTAAATGATTATTCATACACACAAAGTTTATTTCTTGGTTAACCTATATTAATTACAAAGATGTAAACCTGTGATACAAATAAATCTTAAACATGACTGTACATATGTTTTTCACAGAGCATTTGAGGAGAAAACGTAGACGATCTTATTTTATTTTACCTTATTTTATTTTACCGTTTTTCTTCAGCAAACATTTTGATCAAATGGACTGAGTGAACCATTAGAAAAAGAGTACATTTTAAGAGATAAAATTGTTGTTACAAAAAAAGAATTACATCTTCAAATCAGTCATCTGAGAACCTTTCTATGTTGCATTTGGATGTTTAGTATCAAATTATGGATTTCATGTAAGCATTTAGTTGCTGAGAAACAATCTTTATAAATAAAAACCCTTTAAATTATTGACAATTTTTTGTCCAAACATGCACACTGAATGATCAAATTTACCTTGTCAGTCGTCTTCTAAATGCAAAAATTAAAAGGTGTGGGTGTAAGGTGGATTAAAGTGCTTTTGAAGTTTGAATTTTTTTGTAGATTCATTATTCAAATTGACTTTTTCTACTAAGACTGTTAAGCATGGTGATGAACTATGACTCTTATCTCAAAATTTAGTGTGTACTGCACTCTGCATTTATTCCAAACACATTTAAGCACAGTCCTATGCTATAATGGCTTTTCTGGTTAGACCTTTTTTCTAACATTTTCATGCTCAAGTTATTTCAATATGTATGCAGTTTGAGCATATATAAGTAAAACATGCATTATAAGGTTTTTATGTTGCAGTTTTAGCATACAAATTAACAATACATGCTTCATAAATTGTTTTGTTATAAATAAGCCGTTAGTTTTCTCAATTGAATTTTTCATATTTTTCATATTGGGGCCTTTAATAGCCGACCATACAGTATGGGTTTTTCTCATTGTTGAAGGCCGTACACTTGCCTATAATTGCTTACATCCACTTCATTTGAACTTTGGTGGATAGTTGTCTCATTGGCAATCATACTACATCTCCTTATTTTTATATTTAAAATGTTTTTAAGTTTGTTGAGAGTTCAGTTCTATCAGAGGAAGCAAAACTGCAAAAATTTGAAAGACCACATAATCTTTATTTAAATTTCCAGCAGCCTACACTAAATTCTTGTTGTCATTCCTGTGTGTGGTTCTAAATGATTAAAATACTTTTCATATAATACCTCAGTTCTCTATGGGAATCCTGACATTTAGATAGTAGATACTAGTGAATCTATTTATAACTGCCTCACTACAAAAGTTTACAAATCTTCTATTTGAAGTAAACCACACTGTTTACTAAAGTTTAACATTATTTATACAAATATTCTTAATAGACAGAAATATATAGGGTAGCTCAAACCATTTATTAAAAGAACATCCTGTGAAAGCACAAGATGAAGTTTCTCAAAAAGATTTTGATAAAATTCATCATTTACCCAGCAGCTGTTACATTTTTCAATCTCGTTAATTATGGCAGCACACAGACATAGAATGCAGTCCTACTGATTGTAATTTTGATCAATTTCAAAACTTTTAATCAAACGTGTGTACCTTTCTAAGTCTGGTTATACTTGATGAAACAACATTTTTACCTGCCAGGTAATCTAACACCCACATGTCTCCCGGATTTATTTTGCTATTATTTAAGACTAGAGGATATTATAAATGTGGACTATAAATTAGGTAAGGGTATTTTAAATTATCAAGTTCTGGCTTATTTTACACACTGTGAGAAACAGTAACAGTTTTCTACTACATGTACTAGTAAATATAATGACCTTTTTGTAAATAGAACAGGAAAAAATGAAATTAATTTGATCCAATCTAATCATATTAATGTACTTTAAAAAAAAAACAAAGTTACCATTTAGGTTAAATAGTTTTATAAACAAACAAAAATCTGTTTCTTTTTTGTTTTACAACAATTACCTTATTATTCCTGTAAGTACAATAATACTCACAAAATCATTTTTACCTAGACATCTCTATTTACATATATAACTAGTGGCGGATCCAGGGGGGTTCCAGGGGTTGGAACCCCCCTTTTTTTTTGACGATCAATGCATTTGAATGGGGACATATAGTTGGAACCCCCTTTATCCTGGGTTGGGAACCCCCTTTTAAAAATGGCTGGATCCGCCCCTGATCAAACAGAATCAAAGTCTTAAATGACACAACAATAAGATTATATATCAGCAGGGAACTAATTATAGGTTTTGGACCTATATTTATTGATGAAATTCACAAAGTAAATATGTATTTAAATACCTAGTACATACAGGTTTCGCATTTTCGCTATTAAATAAATATGAAAAATAAATTTAACGTATTTTATCACAGGGTCAAGGTAATTTCTTTTTTAAAAATTCAAATAAATATTACAACAAATAGTGATACAATCTTCAAAAGATAAGCTGCTTTAGGACATGTAAAGTAAGTCCCTGTTTGATGACATCTCTTATGTGAAAATTGAATATCAGTACGGTAACCCAGGGGATTTTACAGGAACATGCATTTATTCTTTCAATGTAGACACCATGGCATTTTAAAATGAAAAGAGAGTGGAAGTTAATAGTGTATGTTCATGGCTAAATCTTCAGATGAAAAGGGGATATGCAAACCATAAAAACAAAACAAAAATATTGAATACATATATATTAAATAGAAATGTTTGGATAGTATATAAAAGCTTTTGGTACATTTTGTAGCCATTCTTAATACTCATCAATTCCTTAAATGTAGTTCAATTATTAAAGTAATTGACATTTATCACTATCTATAGCGCCAGCTATCACCAATTTTGCAAGATATTAATATTTGTATTCACCAGGGACAGTGTTGCCGTATAAGTGAAAAGTGAATGTAAAGGTTCAGCTTCGATCCAGCCCTGGTTTAGAAGAAATAAAACACAAGATCTACTTTCATACTGTAAGGCTGATTTACTACTTAACACCATCTTTCAGCAATTTCCCCTCCCATTCCAAAAAAAAAAATTGTGTTGGCCTTCATTCCAAAAATTGCTGGAAAAGAAATTCAGTATCATGTAGACTCTATTTTAATACATTGATGATTGCACATTGCAATCCGGAATAACATATTTTCTTAATTTTTACATAATAGATATATATGTCTTACTTTTGGATTCATCTTCACAAAAGGTATTTATAAACTTGTTAGCATTTCAGACAGTGTGGCTTCTTATCTCACAAAAATGATTCCCTGTTTCTCTGAAAATAAAAATATCAATTAATTGTAATGATCCATCGTTTATTGCCTTCTATACAAAATGATACAGCCTATGTCTTAGTCAAGCAGTTAACAACATCTTCTTATCTACATACTAATGTACATTTTCACTATCTGAAAACTGAAGATCTATATAGAATGGTCTAGTCATAAATCTATGTGTAGAAAAAAAGATGGGGCAAAAAAATCAATGGATAAATATTGCTGATATAGGATCTGGAAGAAACTGAATACAATTCCAATGGAAAGTTATCATAATCAGTATGATTAAAATGATTATCTGTTTAAGACTATTGTTACAACAGCCTGTAAAATATAGCATATGCTCTTGTAATGTCCATGCTTAAACTGATATAAAATAACAGCTAATCAATGAAGTGTGGAAAATAAACCTGATAAAAAGACAATCATTTCTGCATTAATAGAAGATTACAATTGAGGTTCCATATGCATACCAATGCTGATGATACAATTCAATAGGGAATAATAGTTACATCAGGTCTCCACTTATATAATGTCAAATGTGCATCTGGAAAATATGTCAAATGTGTGCTGTATTCAATACAAAACATAGGGAGAGGACATCACTAATGTTGTTATAACTTGTGTCCAATCCCTTTTGCTACTTTTGCAAATAAAATATGTTTAAACTAAACTACAAAACATATGGTTTTTCAAAATCTCTTCAGAATTCTAATAAAATGTCTTTCTATAATATCCTAAATCAAAACAATTTCATCACCATACAACTTCTAAGCAATATATGTAAATGAAAGTTTAACATCAGTATAAATATGGTTCTTAGAAAATTGCTTATATATGATTATCTCCTTCAAATATTTTTCTGTTTTAGTCTCAACCTAAACAGCAAAACAGAAAGAAATTAAAAGATTATTTTTGGAAAGTTTTGTTACTTCAGAGAGTATATAATGCTTAACCCCTTCCTTTTATTTTACTCCTTTTAATGCGAGTCTTGTCATGTAACATTCACTTTTGTAAGAAATTTCTATATAGACCCTCATGTCTATCAACAGGATTTATAATGTTATATTTAAGAGACAGGCTATATAAAGTCGACTAGAATTCCAATTTTCCCAGATGGTCTTTGTTCTTACATTAGAAACCTCACAATATGGACTATTGTGTTTTAATGTACCATTTAATCAAAATTCAATATTGTGTCTGTGATTAATATAAAAGCATTAATTTTTATGCTAATGGGAAACGGAAAGTCAATAGTAAGAGAAAACGATAACTTTGAATCACTACTAATCATTTTCCCATTGTCTGTGTGGTATGACTGGTAACTTATATATTTTATCAGATAGTTTATAGTGCACTTAAAGAAATCAATTATTTATTATAAACAAACAACTACAGCAAATATATAAAACCTATATCTCATGTTAAAAAGGTTCACAATGGTGTTCTTTACATTCATTTTGTGAAAGTTTAAAAATGGAAATACATTATGATTTAAAAGCATCCCATTTTAGTTCCCACTTGATTAAACATAATTGTATCTACAACTTCAAATAAAATACACATATATGTATTTGATATTCTTTCCAATAATGTGAAAATAGTTTAATGACTTTAAAATGTAAACCCACTGATGGGGTCCAGCTTTGCCATTTTAAAAAGTGAACTTGACATATAAAAGATTACTGCTAATTACAGGAATCATGTATATGTATCAAATTCTTATCAAAATGTATTTGAACTGTCTGATAATACTTTCACTTGAGAGATAAATTATACCCATAAATTATAGTAGATTATCATGTCATCTTGCCAATTAATATCCCATAAAGAGGTAATTACCTCAACATATGGTTTACATGTAAGCCACTGTCTGTAGGGAAAGGATCTTATTAATCGCTACTTAATCCTCAAGTCCCCAGAAAATGTAAACAAACATTGAAATGTCAAGGAATTCAAAATCATGTTCTTAAAATAGCCTTGTGGAGTTTCTGTAAGCTTAATTTCATTGAAGCCATGGATTTAATTTTTCTTTTGTTTATATGGCTGACATGCCATAAGGGTTCCTGGAACTGTTTGACCTGTTCCTGAACTAGGTTGATATCATTTAATCAATGTCTGTCTTTACTAGCATGCATATCTCTCTTTCATCTTGGAAATATTGATAACATGTACAGTTTCAATTTCTGACCTCTACTTATGCTTTTATGCTACTTTTTGTATTTGTCAATCAACAAATCAACATGGGCTCATGATCAATGAAGATTTTTATGGGGTTCCTCTCAATTCTCCAACGACTATAAATAAACAAAATTTCCCCATCTGTCTACTTAAAGGTATCTTTTGGGTTTTATACTTCTACCGTTATTTTGTTTATTTCAATTCATACTGAGTGTACCTTAGAAATATAATGTAATATTTTGTTTGTTTGAGATCCATGCTTAGTTTTGCTTACATGTTTTCACTAATATTCCATATTGGAATTTTACAGATTTTTTTATTTCATCAAAGTAATCAGTTTGGCAAAATTTGATAATAAAAAGTAAAAATACATTGATTCTTAATGTTATATGGCAATACATGTAATATGTACCTTCATTAAAACAAGAGTTCCTGAGGATCAAGATAATTTTTTTGATTTATTAGTTATTGGGCACAAATTGAACAATTATTCATCACATGACCTTTGAACAGTAGCCAAAAAACATTAAGTGACCTGTAACTGACAAAGGTCAATTGTGTGTGAATTCAAATGTCAAATTAAATCATACTTGTCAACGAAAATGAGTTTTCACTTTTTATCATTAAAATGCCTCACTGCTTTACTATAGCTGTTTATAGATTTTATCTGTAAATGAGTGCATGTCAAAATGTTGTTTTAAATATAGGCCTAGGTCTTAACACTTTCACAGAACTAACTAATTTATTTATAACAGTACACAGAGGTTTTTAATAATATTCTTCACAATCCTGAGAGTTAAAAACAGCCTTAAAACATTAAAATTTAATGTTGATAAAAATCACCTGTAATTAGATTTGATATCTAAAAACAAAACAGACCTCAGATTATGTGGTCATCTTGACCATAAATTTAAGGTGCAGACATTGCTCTGATTAGAAACAGGTGTGGTTAACCTTAACTTCCCACCCACATCCTGGATAACTCTGACTCAAATTTGTAAGTGAAATTTATTCAGAGAATCATAGGTAAAATATCTTTTGTCATTTCTATGATGTCAGTTCATTATGTAAACAAATGATAAAACTGACAAGGGGAGATCTCAAAGTAGTTTCTCTTATACAATGAGTAAGATATTGTTCTATGGTATGCATAACTTCTACACTTTATCGTGTGGTATCAGAAAATGTCATCAACTATTGGATGTAAAGTGTGAACAGATATAAAATCCTCACTTTAAGCAGCAAAAGATAATTATCAAGCCTTTCTTTCTACTACTCATTACATAATAAAACTATAGTTACCCCAATGTCTTAGAGTCAAACTGTAGATATTTCTTCTTTTCCCATTTTTTTTTTGGATCAAGTATTATTGTGTAGTTAAAATTTCTCAGAGCAATTACAACCCTGTGCATAGTGCTCGGACCTGTGACTCCCTTATGGCCAATTTTTTTTTTTTTTTCATTTTTCTGATTTTTTTACTGCTGGGCCTCCCTAATTTTATAGGGAAAAGTCCTTTGATCTGCCACTGGTGTTCTATATATTTCATCAACATATTGATTCATTAGACAATGTACTTTAAAGATGTTACCATTATTCTTGTTGCATATTTAAAAAACATGAAAGTGGTTGTGAAAAAAAAATAAAATGATTGTCATATTGTTTGTAAATTGTTTGAATTTTTGCAAAGATCATTCTGACTCCATATGTATCTATATAAGTGATTAGCTTATGTACAGATTATCTATAGTACTTGTCACTTCTTTTCAATCATGGCATTACAGCTCTTTGCAGGGGGCAGATCCAGGATTTTAAGTTAGGGGGGGGCGTAAACTTAATTTTTTTTTAGGTAAAATTATCGAAATATTCTTTATTAAGCTGAGGACAACCAATGCTTTGCAAATGTTAGGGGGGAGGGTGCACGCCCGCCATGCCCCCGCCTGAATCCACCCCTGCTTTGGTCATTTAGACAAGGAAATATTAATACATAAAATTGTCTAAATTATACTTCACAAAGTTTGACAATTGTTTGTTTAATAAATGATTGGTTTCATTTTGTTTGGTTTTTCTTTTTTTTTCTTTTTGACCATTAAAGAAATTTTTTTTTGTCTTTCCAATTTTGAACTTTCAAAATGAAGTAACTTACGAAAACGTGGGAGGTGAGTGCAAAGGAGGCAATACAATATGGTTGCATCCGGTTGGTTTCTCAGAAAATGTTAAAATTTAGTGATATGTTGAATTTGATGTTATCATAGCAATAAAATGGGGGATTGTTGCTATAGCAAGTCAAATATATCTGTATTAGCTTCAACATAGGACATCAAGCTATTATTCTGATAAAGTTGGTCAATGTCAACTGTGCACTGAGGGTATCTGTAATGTTTTCATTTTAAGCAAGTCACAAAAATTAAGCTAGTGCCTTTAAATCTCAATGTTTACAGGTGTTGTTTTTTTTAACTGGTGAATGCCTAACCTGTGAATACCTAGTTCATTCATTTATACAGCTTGCCAAAATCAAATTATGTATTGTATGTCTGTGTTTCAGGAAACTCAAATTTCTGTGACTTGTTTATTTAACACTAGATTGACTAAATCAGAAAACTTTATCCGATTATATTGCAATGTTCTGATGGTTATTAAAATGAAGATAAAAGCGAATTCATTTCTTAACTTTTGTGTGAGAATGGACATTTTATTTTAATACTATTTGCTTTGAACTAATATGTTCATTGCAAAATGCTTCTGTAGTGTTTTTTTTTTAAATCATGATGGCATATTTTTAGCATAGACCTGTTATATGTTTACATAGATCTAAGAGATAGTCAGGAACCTGTTGTTCAGTGGTTGTCGTTTGCTGATGTGGTTCATAAGTGTTTCTCGTTTTATATATAGATTAGACCATTGGTTTTCCTGTTTGAATGGTTTTACACTAGTCATTTTTTGGGGCCCTTTATAGCTTGCTGTTCGGTGTGAGCTAAGGCTCGGTGAGTTGTCTCATTGGCACTCATACCACATCTTCTTATATCTATATACATCAATTCATTTGAATGCCCATATACAATGTAAACATTTCAAGGGAAAAAGTAAAGAAAATATTGTTTCTTCCATAAGAGGGTGTATGTTATATTTTACAACATATGTATATACTAGTATACCCTCAACTTGTTTTCACTGGTTGACTTCCTCTTTACATCTCTGATTGACAAGCATCTTGTCATCTTTCTGCCCTGAAGGATGACCATGTAGGAAGTCTAATTTACCTGTAAAGATTCAGTACAATACGCGTGGACAGTTAAATCATGGTGTATCAATTACATCAGTAAACATAACAATGTGTTGACAATTGATATGATATACTACACAAACTATCAATACTCTATATCTTGGACTATTATCTGACCATAACAGTCCCAGTCTTTATATGGAAATTTCTTTTCAACTTAAAAAAATAGATTTAGATAAGATATGACATTATTTCTTCAAACAGCTAATAGAGAAATTTATATGACAGTGACTAGAGAAAAATTACTAAATATATACATCTTTGATCAAAAAGATTCTATTCCAATCCAACTTTGGTTCTTAGTTTTAAATGGTGCAACCATTGTAATTCTGCTAAAGTCATAAAAATCTTACAGCTCTTCAATATTTAATTCTATCCTGGTTACACCCAAATGGTTATACCTTCACTTGATAGATATATGCATGTATTGATCCACTCAGAAAACATCTTTATAGTATCATATTCTTGGTGCATACAGATTTTTGTTTATAGTTTGGCAACACCAATTTGACATAAAATATATATTCAAGAGAGGGGCGTGAAAGAAAAAAAACAGGCACAAGAGCAAATTGACTAATTACTTGCTGAAAACAAAAGGCTCATGTACAGACAAGAATTATGATAATAATAGCAAACCATGCTATATCCACCTATTTCTTAAAATTCAGCCTGACACATGAAAATGAAAGGAATTTCCTAACAAAAGTTGTTGTTCAACATCTCAACAAATCCTTGGCAAAATAAAGATAATTACTGTATTATTGTGACAATAGAACTCTTTCATTCATTATGGAGATGTGTAAATTGCATTCTTAGGGTGTGTGATGTCATATTTAATCCTTTATCATCCAATTGATGTTTGTCTTTACCCCAAAACCCTGTAAGATTTAAAACTTGTATTTCATTTGTCAGTGATGTCAAAAAATTTAAAATGGGAATAAAAAAAGCCTTGTTTAGTATGCATGAACTCCATACCTGTTCTTTTTTTTTTTATCAAAATTTGCTTGAAAACTGCTTTTTCCTAAAGAAAATCTTTCAAAACTTAAATGACAGGCTTCACAACAAAAATAAAACCAAATAAACCTGTGGCAATTGTGCTTCTATTGTTACATTAGTACCAAGTTCATCATGATGAAGAAAATCCAAATAGATATGACCTCACAATAATTTTTTGAAAATATTTAGTTTTATAGGAAATATATATATATAGCAAAAATTGTAGTTGACAAATATTTGTACAAGAATTTATCATTTCTGTTTCATGAATGAATTGTCCAAGCTGACCTGGGGTCATTTGAAAAAAAAACATGTCATAAGACATTGTGACATCAAATTTTTCTAGGAAAATGCACTAATTTGAAGATCGTGCGTTGCATAACACTGTTTGTCAATTAGTTGAAAAGTTAAAATTGAGAATGGAAATGGGGAATGTGTCAAAGAGACAACAACCCGACCAAAGAGCAGACGTTACAGCCAAAGGTTGTATATTAAAAATAATTAGCTTGGTCATACTTTGATAACTTTCTTTATAAATACACTGATGTGTCATTATAACGTTTAAGTGAGACAACTGTTTAATTGGGGTCTTCTTAAAAGGGCATTATACAATTGTGGATCCAGAATTTTGAAAAAGGGGTCCATGCCAACAAGGCAACTTGTAAAAAGTTGAAGCATTAACCATTTATGTAGCTCCAGAATCCCCCCTTTTCCACCTGTTATTCAACTGTGCATTGTGACGCATTCACAAACTTATTGTCAATGCCAATAATGAGGAATGATTTAAGTATAAAACAAGTATAAGAAGTTGCAAAATTATTCTGATTTATTGAATTTATATTCAATTTCAAGAATTTGTATACAGTAGCATTAGTCTATACCTATACTATAGTTTATAAATCCTGGGATTATTCAAGAGGATACTATTTATTGACTCTAATTTTCTGATTTTTTTTTATGCAGCAAACCAATATGATCATAATAATTTACTTGTGACAAATTAAATTTTGGGTAAGAAGGCTTTCGTCCACCTGTTTGTTTACTTTACCTTGAGCGCCTAAAAATAGACTACTCTGGGAATTGTGGGAAGGAAGTGCGTGTGTGATATCATTTGTGTACTGGAGGCTTCCATGATTTTTTCGAACACGGAACTTTGTGTATATTTTTACTTAGTATTACAGCTATATAGGTAAAATATTAACATACGTATGTCCTGACTATTGTGTTAGTATCACAGGAAATCAGCATTTAACTTTTCCTTGACATGTCATTGCACTTGACCCAGTTTTTGTAGAGAAATTTGAAAAGTGTGAAATGGCGGCAGAAAAGGTCAATTTTGACTCCGTCTTTTTCTTAGTTAAGCAAAGCTTGACGTACCTAATGACCGCCCCATTGAAAAATGAGATTAAAAAAGCTTTAAAGGTGTTCAATTAAGACCGAAATAATTGACAAATTATTTGCCATAATATATCCCCCTTTTCTTATTTTCGTATACTCTTGTATCTGTATTCAAATCATTTATTTCAGTTATTCTTGAATCATTCAGTAAAGTGTAGCAGTGCTTTTCTTTTCTAATTATAGTTGAACAGTGACAGTCTTCATGATTTTACTAAAAAATCAGTTAGATTCTATTGGCATGAGAGATTTTTACAGGCCAGACAGCATTTTTTTCAAGCCTGATAAAACCATCCTTTACTGCTTTAGCTGGCAAATGAACGTACTCCTTAAGCCTGGATGGAGAGGGGACTCTGTTACCAAACCCTTTTCATATAATTTAAGATTTAAATAAATATATACCTTTTTATTATATGGTCAGATCATATGTTTTCGTACGTCATATGAATTCGTACTATGCATGCTTTTTCAATAGAAATTATGACATCACAATGCATTCTTTGAATAGCACGAAAACCCATGAGACGGGGATATATATATTGCGTAGGTAAAAATGTAACCTTTTCCCATATTGGTTGGGTTTTGTGTGTGATGTGTTGGAAAAATCGAATACAAAAGTGTCAAAAAGAGGGGAAATTTGTGGATAAAACCACAGCCGGGAACACCAAGAAAGTTACAGGGCTTTTCATATAACAAGTAATGAGTAGTCCTTTAAAATAAGCATTGTCCGATAATCATACAGTTTTGTCAGCTGCTGTAGAAGAACATTTAAGACAACTTGAAATAAAGGATATAATGTTAACAATTAAAACTCAGAGTTCTCGAAAAGTGGTGGTCCAAATGATTTGACCACCAAATTTTGTAAAGGACCTACACAATATTTGGTATTTTGAAATTGAAATACATGTAATAGTGAGGACCGGCAGATTTTCTGCAAGGACCACCAGGGAAAAAATATTTTGAGAACACTGAAAAATGCCTTGAATCTTGTCTAGAAATTGACCATGAGGGTTGATTGAAAAAATTTGCTACAAAAGAATTCAGCTTCCCAATTGTGAACTTTCCATTTGTATGTAGCAACCAACAGTGTCTGCATATGGAGTACTGTAAATTCAGAAATTATTCCGTGGTTTTTATTAATGCGAATAATACAACTGGTTGAGTTTCGCAATAATAAGAACTTGCATTCTGATAACTGTTACATATATCTATATGAAGAATTTCCTGAAATCGTAATAATTAATCTCGCATTTTTGTCCATTCTTTTAAAATTGCAATGATTTCTGAATTTACAGTATACATGTATATCCCCCAGTTGATACAATATTCCAGAGCATGCATTTCTTATCTGAGGCCGCAATTAAAAATATCTTTGTTTCCCCTTACCCTACCCACCATTTTGGAAGTGGGTAGGTAGGTAGGCTTTTTTTTTTTTTTTTAGAGAAAATCCCTGAAATATATCTAACACACAGGAAAACACAGAAAAAAAACAAATTGAACTTTATTGATACTAAAACAACATACTGTATAATGTATTATCATGATTATGCATGACTAGAAGACCCTACAATTTCAGACTAAAAAATGTTTGTAAATATCAATGTCTTTGTGACTTAGAGTAGACCACATATAAATTGAGACACGGTTCTATATTTTTCTTATAGTTTTATTAATTCAATTGAAAATATAAAACCCCAACGAGACTGCTACCTAGAAACATTCGATGCAAAAAATATGTACACTTGTTTTTCATTTAAGGAAATACTAGAAGCCACAAACTGTGATCCAAGCGAGTATGACTACGCCTATTAAGGCTTATTCTAGAAAACTATGAATTTATTTTTAACAATAAACTTTACCATGAAACCTTGGGCGTGCCTATGTGCGGATCAGCATTTGCAGAGTTATCAGACCTTACAATGTTTGTTAATTCTTGAACACATTTTACAACGCTTTCAACACAGAGAAACAAAATGATAATGATAGTTGAAGTTCACTTACGAATTTTCCTGTAATGAAATAATATTCTTAGACACTGTCATAATTATACAAAGGAGAAAGATTCTTTAACGAAGGCATAGTATGATACAAGATATCAAAACCAATATCAAACCAACTGAAACATATCAATATCTGCACAGACACTGCTCACACCCAAAAAGTGTTTTCATTGAAAGGATTTATCAAGGGTGAAGTATTGAGGTATCTCAGAAACACAAGCAGCAAAACTGATCTTAAAAAAACAGTAAGAAGCTCAAACGAGGATATCAAATATCTGAAATCAACGATTTTTTTTATCAAACACAAAATACAGAAAGGGAAAACTTGCTAACACATTGCCCAGCGAAACGGGAGCAACCGCTAGTAGTGTTAACAAAATTCAACCCATCTATACAGAAACTAAAAATATAATAATGAAACACTGGCATCTTATTTCACAAAACCCTGAACATGTGACCATATTTAATCATCAGCCCATTATAGCTTATAAAAGACATAAGAACTTACAAGAACTTTTATCAAAGCATTAGCTGGTATATATATAGTCATCTCGACTTTTCACAACACAATATGATACTGAGCTCGAAAAAAATCAACTACTATTTTATCCAAAGACAACTA